AGGCTGAGGCAGGAGAATCACTTGAACCTGGGAGGCAGAGGTTGCGGTGAGCTGAGATTGCACCACTGCACTCCAGGCTGGGCAACAACAGCGAAACTCCATCTCAAAAAAAAAAAAAAATCTTGGAGACAGGTGGCCACATACAGTCACCTCTCAGGGAAAAGCAAGCAAATATCTTTAGTCAGTGTATGCCATTTCTAGGTTGCTTTATCTGTAAGGAAGAAATTGAGGTCTAGGGCTGTCCTGCCCTAGTGCTTTAATACATATAGATGTAGAGTCATCATCCTCCTGCATGACTTCTGGGACTACCTTTTTGGCTTTTGCTTTCTTATCCTCCCTGCCACTTTCCTCCTATCTTCCTCCTGTGATCTCACACCCCAAGAGCATCTCTACAGTAGCAGATCCACCTGGGAGTGAGTTAAAGCACAGGCTCCCAGAATTCACATCATAGAAAATTAAGACTACACAGTCCAGGGGCAGTGGCTCATGCCTGTAATCCCAGCACTTTGGGAGGCCTAGGGGGGCAGTTCGCTTGAGCCCAGGAGTTGGAGACCAGCCTGGGCAACATAAGGAGACCTCATCTCTACAAAAAATAAAAAAAGGTGTGGTAGTGCTTGCCTGTAGTCCCAGCTACTCGGGAAGTTGAGGTGAGAGGATCATTTGAGCCCAGGAGGTTGAGGCTGCAGTGAGCCATGATCATGCCACTATACTCCAACCTGGATGACAGAGTGAGACTGAAGAAAGAAAAGAAAAGAAAAGAAAAGGGAAGGAAAAGGAAAGGAAAATTATACTACATGGTGAATGACTATACTCAACACAGAGTTTAACAACTGATCAAAATTAAGTTACCTCTAAGGAACTTTTCTTTTCATCGTTAAGATCTAATGGGCACTTGCTTGGATAGACTCAAATTGGTGAAGGATTTTGTACGTACTCAGAAAATCATGGGATGTGCCGTGAAATCACAGGAAAACTTTCTTATGCTCAAAGAAGACTCTCTGCTCTGGTCTGTTATGACTCTAGATAGTTCCCAGTATATTGCAGTGGGTTGAGGCAGACAGGTCCCAGTCCTTCTCAGGAGGAGGGTAATTGGACTAGATGGTTGTGGGATGAAGTCTGATTTGGTAGGTATAACATGACATCAAAGATGAAGGCCATTGCCTGCAAAGTATTGTCCTGAAAATCTTGGCAGCAAGGCATTCCTCCAGGCAAGCAATGACCATATAGTGACTGGGAATCCCCTGGCAAACATAAAGGAAGTATATCCACAGGTATAATGCTCCTGGTCTTCAGATTGGGGTGCAGAGACAAGGGTTTTTTGTTTTTTGAGACAGAGTTTTGCTCTTGTTGCCTAGGCTGGAGTGCAGTGGCGCGATCTCGGCTCACTGCAACCTCCACCTCCTGAGTTCAAGCGATTCTCCTGCCTCAGCCTCCCAAGTAGCTGGGATTACAGACGCCCACCACCTTGCCCGGCTAATTTTTTGTATTTTCAGTAGACACTAGGTTTCATCATTTCATCATGTTGGCCAGGCTGGTCTTGAAATCCTGACCTCAGGTGATCCTTGGCCTGCCAAAGTGCTGGGACTACAGGCATGAGCCACCACGCCTAGCCCAGGGAGAAGTCTTGAGTAAACATTCAGCAATGTGTATGGGCAAGAATGAGGTAGAGCCGGGCGTTGTGGTTCAGACCCGTAATCCCAGCACTTTGGGAGGCTGAGTCTCGCAACAAAAGCGAGACTCCATCTCAAAAAAAAAAAAAAAAAGAGAGAGAGAGAGAATGAGGCAGAGTCCATTCCTTAAGGCACTCGTGTGGGCAGGTTCCCAAGACTCAGACATGGTCAGTTAGGGCCAAAGGGGATATGAGACTCCAGAGCAATACCAAAGGTCAGTCCTCAGAAAGGGGACACGAGGCAAAAGCTAGGCCAGCAACTGGGAATTGGGAAAGCACTTCTTACATTTCTCTTGCTTAAGGTGAAGACCGGTCCTACAAATAAGATCAAGGTTAAGCCTATGTGGACCCAGTGGTGAAGGAAGGCAGGTTGCAAAGGTTGAGAATCAGGGAGAACCAGACAAAGAAGCTGAGATGGTTGCTTCGTCACAAGAAAGGTTGCTACGGGCTCTGGGAAACCCAACACAGGCTGGGTGTGGTGGCTTACACCTGTAACCCCAGCACTTTGGGAGGCTGAGGTGGGCAGATCACCTGAAGCCAGGAGTTCAAAACCAGCCTGGCCAACATGGCGAAACCTTGTCTCTACTAAAAATACAAAAATTAGCTGGGTGCCGTGGCGTGCGCCTGTAATCCCAGCTACTCAGGAGGCTGAGGTCAGAGAATAGCTTGGACCTGGGAGGTGGAGGTTACAGTGAGCCGAGATGACGCCACTGTACTCCAGCCTATGTGACACAGTGAGACTTGGAAGGAAGGAAGGAAGGAAGGAAGGAAGGAAAGAAGGAAGGAAGGAAGGAAGCCCGCCCAACACTAGTTGTATGAATAGGATTTTTATTAATGGTATCTGGTCTGTGGCTACAATGTTATATTTTGCTGTGCTTGACACATTTTTTACCATTGAGATGTTTATGGAAGAAAGTTTGAATTTGCTGCCAGGCATCTACCTGTGCCTTTGAGTGAGCCTTTGGCTCACCTCCATAGAATACTGCCTCACCCAAAACAGCATGCACAGAGGCTCTAGAAGGAGGAAAATAAGGTGGGTCAATACAGTGACCTGTTCCTGGGTAACAGATTATCTGGGGTCTTTCTTTCCCGTGAGCTTGTAGCCTTTCAGAGGCTATCTGAGCGTAGAATTCACTCTTCCAGTTTTGATCATCCATGCCAACAATAAACAGGAAGGGCCCCTGGGCCTTTTCCAATGGAATAAGACTTTGGTGATTGCGTTCCTCCAGTGGATTGCTCCAAGTGTCCATAAAAGTGAGAAATCTTGACTTAGTGATTTTTACTTTTCCTAGATCATCGACAAGTTTAGGAATAATCATATCCTTGTAATGTAGAGGAGTTATTGTGTTGGCTACACAGGCATTGATAAGAACAGTGGCTGTGATGCCCTTCAAGAAAGAAGCCATTGAGAGACACAGGTCACCTCCTTTGGAAAATCCAAGAAGCCCAATACTAGGACCTTTCACCTGTTGAGGAAAAAGAGAAGGAAACAAGCTTAGAGTTCACAAATGGAGAACACAGACAGTGATTTTACATTCTCCAAGTAGCTTTCTTTCTTTTTTTTTTTTTTCTTTTTTGAGATGGAGTCTCACTCTGTCACCCAGGCTGGAGTGCAGTGGTGCAATCTTGGCTCACTGCAACTTGCGCCTCCCGGGTTCAAGCGATTCTCCTGCCTTAGCCTCCCGAGTAGCTGGGATTACAGGTGCCCGCCATCACGCCTGGCTAATTTTTGTATTTTTAGTAGAAACAGGGTTTCACCATGTTGATCAGGCTGGTCTCAAACTTCTGACATCAAGTGATCCACCCGCCTTGGCCTCCCAAAGTGCTGGGATTATAGGCATGAGCCACCATGCCCTGACAGTAGCTTTCTTAACTATCATTTGCTTTCCTTCCTTATCCAACAATCTGCAAAGTTCAAATATGTCTTCTAGTAAGCAAATCAACTGATTTCCTAGTAATGGATCATCCCCTAATATTTATGAGGACTGGGTCAGGAGTATACACAGAGGCCCAGACACACGATACCTAAATATTTCAAAATTATAAATCAAATGAACAAACTGTTAAATACAGTATATTATTTTCTTCTGCCTTGATAAATATACCACCATAACAATTCATAAGGTCAGGCTCAAATTTAAAATCTTGGAATCCACTGGAGTTCTGTACTGGAATGTGACATACAGGAGAGGCCTGCCCCTGGGCCCTGCACCACACTCCTTCTCTTCCATCACTGGCTCCTTCATGGACCTTAAGGGGCCTCTCACACATGTGTGTGGACACCCCAGCCTGCATGTTTAAGGCCTAGGTGTATACACATTGACGAACCCAGAAAAGAGGCTTAGGGCCTGGAAGCAGGATCAGAGCTGTTTGGCAGAGAATTCTGGGGTGCCAGATCCCAAGAGCATTGGGGGTTATAGGGGAAAGAACCCTGAAGAACATCTTATATCTTAACATTAGAATGTCTGGGTCTCTTTAAACTTGGATGATAACAAAGAGTATATATCATTCAATTTTTAGTTATAACAAAATTTTTCGTCGTCGTGGTTGCTGGGTTTTTGTTTTTTTTTTTTTTTGAGATGGGGTTTAACTCTTGTTGCCCAGTCTGGAGTACAATGGTGTAATCTCGACTCACTGCAACCTCTGCCTCCTGGGTTCAAGCAATTATCCTGCCTCAGCCTCCCGAGTAGCTGGGATTAGAGGTGTGCACCACCATGCCCAACTAATTTTTGTATTTTTAGTAGAGACGGGGTTTCACCATGTTGGCCAGGTTGGTCTCAAACTCCTGACCTCAGTGATCTGCCTGCCTTAGCCTCCCAAAGTGCTTGGATTACACACGTGAGCCACCACACCTGGCCAAAATTTTTTTTTTTTTTTTTTTTTGAGACGCAGTCTCGCTCTGTAGCCCAGGCTGGAGTGCAGTGGCGTGATCTCGGTTCACTGCAAGCTCTGCTTCCTGGGTTCAAGCGATTCTCCTGCCTCAGCCTCCCGAGTAGCTGGGACTACAGGTGCCCACCACCACGCCAGGCTAATTTTTGTATTTTTAGTAGAGACGGGGTTTCATCCTGTTGGCCAGGCTGGTCTCGATCTCCTGACCTCAAGTGATCCGCTCGCCTCTGCCTCCCAAAGTGCTGGGATTACAGGCATGAGCCACCGCGCCCAGCCCAAAATGTTTTAATTAATTGATTATTTCTGTTATCAGATAAGGACTTTCTGTACAAAACCATAATACCATTATCATACCCAACAAAATTAATAATGATTACTTCATATAATCAAATATACCATTCTTATTCAAATGTCTCCAGTTGTCTCAAAAAATATCTCTTTATGGTCATTTTCTCTATATACATTTATGTTAATCTTATTAACATAAAATTGAACTCCAGAGAGAGTAACTGCTTTATTCAGAATCATAAGGCCACTCTATGGTAGACACAGAGCCAGAACTCTTTTTAGTCCTGTGCTCTTTGAATTTTGGTACACAATTACAAAGACAACTAAATAGTCAAGTCTTAAGGGATTAGAGAGAGATGGGAGAAAATGGAAATAATAATCCTAGTATAAAAACTTCTTTTGAGACAGGGGTCTCACTAAATGTTGCCCAGGCTGGTCTTGAACTCCTGGAGTCAAGCAATCCCTCAGCCTCAGCCTCCCAGGTAGCTGGGACTACAGGTGCACATCACCATGCCCAGCTTCCATCCTAGTAATTTTTGAAGGAGACTTGGTATCTCCTGGCATGTTTCTAGTTCCCAGTGTTGTGATTCTGCCCTGCGTCAGCTCTACCCCCTCTCTTCTACACTCAGGTGATCACCAGAACACACCTCTGGATGCTGCAGCATCAAGTCCACGGCTTCTTCAAAGTACTCCAGATGTACATCATTCAGATCTGCAGGGAGGTCTTCAAATCTGAAATAAGCCAGGGCAAGCACAGCAAAACCGTGTCCGGCCAGGAGGCTGGCCCTGTATTCACAAAGGCCACCGCCACTCCCAAACAGATCAATGACCCCAGGAAAGGGCCCCTTGCCTGGAGAACATCACAAATTACAAGGAGCTTTAGAGTCTCAAAAGACAGCAAGCAAACAAGTTTTTGAAGCCAAGGAGATTGGGGGTAGACAGATTGGCAGAAAAAGAACAAAATGTCTTATTTTCTCAAACAATAATAATAATATAGAGGGATAAAAAACTGCATATTGGGTACAATGTACACTACTCAGGTGACAGGTGCACTAAAATCTCAGTGTTCATCACTGTACAGTTCGTCCATGTAACCCCAAACCACTTGTACACCAAAAGGTATTGAAATTAATTTTTTTTTTGACAGTCTCACTCTGTCGCCCAGGCTGAAGTGCAGTGGCGCAATCTTGGCTCACTGCAACCTCTGCCTCCTGGGTTCAAGCAATTCTCCTGCCTCAGCCTCCCAAGTAGCTGGAATTACAGGCATGCACCAGACACCCAGCTAATTTTTTTGTATTTTCAGTAGAGATGGGTTTTGCCATGTTGGCCAGGTTGGTCTTGAACTCCTGACCTCAGGTGATCTGCCCACCTTGGCCTCCCAAAGTGCTGGGATTACAGGCATGAGCCACCGCAACCGGCCTAAAAATTTTTAATGATATAAATTATTATCACACCACTGCACTCTAGCCTGGGCGACAGAGCAAGACTCTGTCTCAATAATAATAATAATAATAATAATAATAATAGAAATTATTTTCACAAACAAAAATAAACCAAGTTAGAAATAACGAAATGAGGCCAGGTGTGGTGGTTCATGCCTATAATCTCCGTGCTCTGGGAGGTCAAGATAAGAGGATCACTTGAGGCTGGGAATTCAAGACCAGCCTGGGCAACATAACAAGACCCCTGTCTCTACAAAAAATTTTAAAAAACTAGTTGGGCATGATGGCACATGCCTATAGTCTTAGCTACTCAGGAGGCAGAGGCGGGAGGATCATCTGAGCCTAAGAGTTCTAGTTTGTGGTGAGCTATGATCACACCACTGCACTGTAGCCTGTAGATCACTGTAACCTTGAATTCCTGGGCTCAAGTGACCCTCCAGCCTCAAGTAGCTACCCTCCCAAATAGCTAGGCCCCATTTTTAATTTTTTGTAGAAACAGGGTCTCACTATGCTGCCTGGCCTAGTCTCGAACTCCTGGCCTCAAGCAATCCTCCCATCGCAATGCCCCCACCTTGGCCTCTTCAAGTTCTGGGATTTTAAGTGTGAGCCACTGCACTCAGCCTGTTTTTTTTTTGGCTTGTTTGTTTTCTTGTTTTTGTTTTTCTTGAGACAAGGTTTCACTCTTGTTGCCCAGGCTGCAGTGCAATGGTGCGATCTCACCTCACTGCAACCTCTGTCTCCCGCCAGGTTCAAGCGATTCTCCTGCCTCAGCCTCCCAAGTAGTTGGGATTACAGGTATGTGCCACCACACCAGGCAAATTTTGTATTTTTAGTAGAGATGGGGTTTCACCATGTTGGTCAGGCTGGTCTCAAACTCCCGACCTCAGGTGATCCGCCTACCTCAGCCTCCCGAAGTGTTGGGATTACAGGCGTGAGCCACTGCGCCCAGCCTTGTTTGTTTCTTTTTGTTTCGTTTGTTTTTTGTTTTCTATCAGACAGAGTGTCTCTTCGTTGCCCAGGCTGGAGTGATGTGGTATGATCTCGGCTCACTGCAACCTCTGCCTCCTGAGTTCAAGTAATTCTCCTGCCTCAGCCTCCCAAGTAGCTGGGATTACAGGCGCCCGCCACCATGCCCGGCTAATTTTTTGTATTTTTAGTAGAGACGAGGTTTCACCATCTTCTCCAGGCTGGTCTTGAACTCCTGACCTCGTGATCCACCCACCTCAGCCTCCCAAAGTGCTGGGATTAGAGGCATTAGCCACTACGCCTGGCCGCCTTGTTTGTTTTTAATGAAAGGTTTTAGTTGATTCTTAGTATGCGTTGTTTTTCTTTTTTCTTTTTTTGTTTTTTTTGAGACAGGGCCTCGCTCTGTTGCCTAGGCTGAAGTCTAGTGGCGTGATCTTGGCTCACTGCAACCTCGGCCTCTCAGATTCAAGCAATTCTCTCACCTCAGCCTCCCTAGTAGCTGGGACTACATGTGTGAGCCACTATGCCTGGCTAATTTTTTTTGTATTATATTATTAGTAGAGGTGGGGTTTTGCCATGTTGGCCAGGCTGGTCTTGAACTCCTGGCCTCAAGTGATCCACCCACCTCAGCCTCCCAAAGTGCTAGGATTACAGGTGTAAGCCACTGTGCCTGGCCCAGACACTATGATTTATTGAACTCCTACTATAACCTTGCAAAAGCCTCTAGGAACATGGATATTTAGAAACCTGTAAGACCCAATTCCAGCCCCAGGAATTCACAGTGTAGTGGGCAGCCACGAGTTAAGGCTAAGAATTGCTGAAGAGCCGTAAAAATAAAGCAAGTTTTCTTGTTTTTGGAGAATCATCACAGAATTCAGTTTAAGGATTCTGTGTGCTGTTGCAACTCTAGAATTTTTTGTTGTTGTTGCTGTTTGAGGCAGGGTTTCGCTCTGGTGTCCAGGCTGGAATGCAGTGGCGTGATCTCGGCTCACTGCAACCTCTACTTCCTGATATCAAACAATCCTCCCACCTCAGCCTCCCAAGCAGCTGAGACTACAGGCGTGCACCACCATGCCTGCCTAATTTTTTTTTTTTTTTTTTTGTAGAGACAGAGTTTCACCATGTCACCCAGGCTGGTCTTGAACTCCTGGGCTCAAGTAATCTGCCCACCTCAGCCTCCCAAAGTGCTGGGATTACAGGCCTGAGCCACTGTGCCCGGCTCAGCATTTTTATATGGTAGAGGTTTAAGTCAGGAATTTAGTTAGAAGGGATTAATCAGGAGCCTTCTTTCTGGGCTACCTTTACCTAGCAAATATCTTGTGTTTACTTAGACTAGGGTTCCTCAACCTCAGTAGTACAGACACTTTGAGCAAGACAATTCTTTGTTCTGGCGGTTGTCCCGTGCATTGTGGAATGTTTAGCAGCATCCCTGGCCTCTGCCTGCTAGATGCCAATAGCACCTCTCCCTTCAGGAATGACAACCACAAATGTCTCCAGATATTGCCAAATTTCCCCCAGGGAAGGCAGCAAAATCACTGCAGGTTGAGAACCAAGTACAGCAATGTTTATGATAGAAGGGAGAGGACTGTCAGGCAGTTTTGTGTGTGTTTTTAAACAATTAAAGGGTATTGCCACTATTGTGGATTTTAGCTTCTTTGGAAGTTTGATGTGAACTGAGGCAAAAATCATTCTTGCACATCAGCTTAAGGTTTTGCCCATATCGTATTCAAACAAAACCACACGGCTGGCACATAGTGGCTCTCAATAAATATATAATAAGTTGAATGCACTATTCAGCACAGAGCGAAAGTGGCAGTGCCTCCAGGGAGGGACGTGAAACTTAAAAAAGAAAGACTGGAGCAGCTACTCAGGAGGCTGAGGCGAGAAGACTTGAGCCCAGGAGTTCGAGGCTGCAGTGTGAGCTACGATCCAGCCACGGCACTCCAGCCTGGGCAACAGTGGGAGCCCAGAGACTCAGAATCCATGGCAGACTCTGGAGCGAAGGAAAAAGTTCAGGGATGTTCCACAATCACGTGATTCCTAGGACAGGAAAGGGGCAGGTGGGGGTCGCAGAGCTCGACCAAGTTTTGGACAGACTACTCACCCGGCGGCAGGAAGAGCGCGGCGCGCACCCGGCCCGCGCGCACCA